TTCTAGTGGTGCTTTTTGACAAACATGTTGGAGAGTTTTCGACATGGTTGTTTTAAAGGAAAACGTCGAAGTCCCTATGTACAAAGTAATATTTAGGATTTAGTAATTTTCAGAGCGACATGAGGAACTTTTTCGACGGAGACAGTTGGAATGCAAACACTACTATAAAAAACATTTTTAATCTCGGGCACAAAATGCATTTTACCTTGGCTAAAGAAGCGAGATAACGAAGGGCATCATGAAAAATACCGATTTAACACATTGATTATTAAAACACCGAGGGATAAATTTATTTACACATGAGTTCGAACCTTATCATCTGTAATTTATTATTTATAAAATTAACGCCTCATACATATCGAATAATCAATAAAACTGAGGGGTAAGATAGATTTAAAAATAAAATTTGTTACATTATTTACACAAAATATTAATAAATTAATTTGTTTACAAACTATATTGTTTACCCAGAATATTACATTGTTTATCCATAATATTAAAATAAAAATTAATTTGTCCATGAAGATCATATTTTGGATCTTCAATTCCTTGATATTATAGACAACATCAAATGATGGGTGCCATTATATTCTCAATTGCTTTTTATGTATTTGTTTATGATATATTCAAAAAGAGGGTTAGACAAAAAAAAAGGGTTGGATTAATAAATTATTTTTTGCTCAAATAAATATTTAAGAACACAAAACTTAAACCCAAATAGTTTTTTGGTCTTGCAATTCATCATAGAGAACTCTTTATAGCTAATACTCTTGCAAACCTTAATAATGTTTCAAGCGCTTCAAGATGTTTCATTATCTATTTTAGATATTAGAATACTTTTATAATAAAACTTTTTAGGTTTCACACACATCACTAATTGAAGTGTCTTGAGCGATAATACTCATGAAATAGACGACACAAATTTGTTAAAAGACGGTGATCAATATCCTAAATTATAACGCTAAATTATCCCCTCGATTTTGTTCAAAACCAAGGTGAAAAAGCTTTTTTTTTTACAATACAATGTTTACACATAATACTAAAACACAATATTATAACAAATCTAGATTCTTGGAGAAGAACAAATCATTGTTGTAAGGAGTTATCTACTCAAAATATTGGAAAATGTTATATGGATTGAATGCATCCAACTTCTAAAGAAATTATTTGTTTCAACCATTGGAAAATATTTTTATGCACTTGTACCTATCATAGAGAACTTTTTCAAGCTTCTTGAGTTCCAAGATTTCATTATCTTGTAATCCATCCCAAAGAATGATGCGTACACGTGAGGATTAGGATAAAATATGTTTAAAGAGTGCTTTTATAGTAAAATATGATATTATGTCCCTCAATTATTGAGAAAACCGATGAGATAGACTATTTAGTTTACAAATAAAAAATATAATAAAAAGAAAGGTTCCTGAATTGTTTTTCCCCTCAATTATAAGAAAACATGAGGTAAGATGTGGTTTTATTTCTCCATATTGAAATCATATCACTAGAATAACAATGGTCATCCATATTCAAAATGTAACATATCTTTTGGGTTTTCAAGGAGGCGTTTGAGCTTCCTATTCTTCAATATTTAAACATTATTCCTATTTTCAATGTCTCATTTTCAACTCGTTGTATCTTCAAACCTAGTTTCAAAGTCTTTTTTAATAAAAAATGAATGAAAATCTTTTGTTCGTTATCAATGAAAAGTTTGTTTATTTCAATGATTTGAAAGACAAAGGTTTTTATCTAAGGAAAAATATTTTCAAATAAAAGTTAAATGGTTACGTTGACATTCTTCGTGGATCCATCTACACTAATCTCGTTAAAGAGTTCTCGTTAAATGCCACTGTTGTACTATCAGGTCATGATGTTGAGTAAATCTAGTCCTATGTCAATGTCTCTCTATTAGTCAACAATTTTCGAATAAGAAAAATGATTATGAGCTAAGGGTCATCACCAAGGTCAAAGTACTTACGACACAACCCATGGTGAGACAAGAGGCATCGACAAGTTACCAATGAAAAGTCCCTTTGAGACTTAACGAAACTTCATGATGTTCAAGCCAGGTCGATGGAAGGGATAGAGTCCAATCGAATGTGAAAACATATAACATTGAAGCAGTTTCATCGACGCTTACCAATAAAACATGGGAAGACTCAAAAGGAAGCTTCATCACAAACTTCGAACGTGGTTATATAATAAACCTTCGAATGTGTAGGATATCAATTACTTGTGTTTATTTATTTAAGCAAGTTTTTTCATTCACGTCAGAGGTCTATTTTGTAACATTGTAATAAAGAAGTTAAAACATCCGCGTCAAGAGAAAAACGAGTCACTTCTGAGAAATATATGTGTGTGTTCACCTTTAATCCAAAGCAATTTATTTCAAATTTTCTGTCTTGTTTATCATTTTTACCTTGCGAATTTATCTTTGTTTTTTTTACCTTTTTTTTGTTCGATTCATTCCTTACCCATTTCTAATCCCAAAAATCATATCAAACTTAACACTAAGTCCATGATTCTTGTAGCTAGTCTTGCAAGTAACCTTTAAATAATAGGCTAGAGATTGTTCGCGAGAAACGTTTGCGATCAAATTGGCACACTCGGTGAGACACATTTGTGTTAAGTTCGTCTCAATCTATGCATGAGATTGTGGAGTGGTTGAAAAATGGTAGATCTTAGAAATCCAAATTGGATGCAACCCCCAGGAGGAAATATCAATGTTGCATCAAGTGTTGGTTCAAGCTCTATGGTTGTATCTTCGATGACCCAAGCATACCAATCACCAAAAGTCAGCCAGTGACTCCAAGACCAAACGTGGTCAATACTTAAAGGTAATATGTGCCTAGTTTCGTGATGCTCACGTATGGTGGGAAACTAGTGTATGGAATGCTAACAACAATGATGGCAGGCTTGCATAACAACGAATATAATCCTTTAACATGGAATATTAAGTTGCATTACAACTTTTTTTTAATAATAACATAAACATGAAATTAGAGAATATAAAGTTACTTATAAAAATATTTAATATTAACGTGAACATAAAATTACTGATAAAAATATTGAATATTAACAAGAACATGAAGTTACTAATCGAAATATTGAATAATAACGGGCATGGAGTTACTGATCGAGATATTGAATTTTAACAGAAACATGAAATTACTGATCAAAATATTGAATTTTAAAGGAAATATTAAATTACTGATCAAACTATTGAATATTAACGGGAACATGAAATTATTAATAAAAATATTAAATATTAACGGAAACATGAACTTACTGATCATAATACTGAATAATAACATAAACATGCAATTACTGATCAAAATATTGAATAATAATAGAAACATGAAGTTATTGATAAAATTATTGAATAATAATAGAACAACTTTACTATTGATTTAAATATTTTTGACAATAATTTCAAAACAAAAATAATATATATATATATATATATATATATATATATATATATATATATATATATATATATATATATATATATATATATATATATATATATATATATATATATATATATATATATATATATATATATATAATATATATATATATATATATATATATATATATAATATATATATATATATATATATATATATATATATATATATATATATATATATATATATATTATATATATATATATAATTATAAGTACAAATTTATCATCTCTTTTAAAAAAATTATTTTATTTTAATCATTTTTAAAAACAAATACACGTAACCCGTGTGTTACTAGTTAGTCATGTTTGGAAAAATTAAGGTTAAAGCAATGGACCTTGAACCATATTTTCTCTCCATTTTTACTGCCATAGAACACCCATTCCATATCTCAGGTCATATAATTTAGGATTTTAATTAGGTTAGTCAGACTTTTTTCCTTTTTTAATTAGATTTTTTTTAATTGAATTAATATTATTTAGGTTAGTTTAATCATTGCTTAGACTAAATTCATTTAGGTTATTTAATTTAAATTATTTTTTTAGGTAATAAAATAAAAAATAGAAAAAAATACTTCCTCTTTATTTTATTTAATTAATCATTAAAAATAAAAAAAATTGTTCAATTCTTTTCCAAAAATAAAAATAAAAATACAAATATATATATATATATATATATATATATATATATATATATATAATATTATATATATATATATATATATATATATATATATATATATATATATATATATATATATATATATATATATATATATATATATATATATATATATATATATATATATATATATATATATATATATATATATATATATATATATATATATATATATATATATATAACATAACGACAGTCATATTAATGAAAAATGAATGAAATAAAAATGGTGATCACTAACCATTATTTACCCTATTTTACCACATTTGTGTCATTTAGTGTGTTAGTAGATTTCTAAATGTGTGAATATAAGGGAGACTGAGTGGGAAACATTTAAAACATAAAAAGGGAGTGATTTTAGAGAAGAAAAAAAAAACACTCTTCTTTTTCGCATGTTAAAAAAATCATTAGTCTAATAAAAAGACAACATTTTCTATATAAAAATTCTGTTAATTTTTATAACGCTTTTATAAACATCATTTCTTATATGAATCTTTTTGTCATTTTTTTAAAAACAGATTTTTTGTTATTTTGGTAAATAAGTTTAAAGCTGTTTTTACATAAATTGTTGTATATATTTTTTAAAAACATTATAAAAGTTTTTTTTTTAAACATCTACAATTTTTCTTTCATACTTTCTTTTCTGCACTCTTATACAAACGATTTTAAAACCAAAATTTGATGTAGTGAGAGGATAAACTTGACACTTCTATTGTTTAATTTATTTCTAGTGAACCAACCAAAGAGCAAATTAGTGCTGTCACATTGTTCTAGGCAATGCCCTAGCTAACTGAATAACTAATGCCGTAAAAAGTGCCAAAAACAAAAACAGAAATTACAAACAAATTGTTAGAAGTTGGTGGAGCTTATAGTTTGATGATCAGATATAGTTAAAAGTTGCTCAAGATATTCAACTCCCAAATCCTCTAACACCAACACACTTGATGATGATTCCTCTGATTCTTGTAATTTCCCTTTACCCTTTTTACCTTTTGATGATGATGGCATTAATTTTCTTTGGTTATAATGTCTTTCTTTGAGTGCAAGTGCAGGTGAAAAAGACTCAATATTACAGCAAGGATCATATTGAATATCTTGCAAAGATTGTTTGACCCTTTGAACTGAAAAATTGAGAAGAGCGTTATCACCTCTCATTGAAAATGCAGCTTGGTCATAAGCTAAAGCAGCTTCTTCAGCACTATCAAAGGTTCCAAGCCAAACCCTTTTCCCTCTTCTTGTTGTGTCTCTAATCTCTGCAGCAAATTTCCCCCAAGGCCTTTTTCTCACACCTATATATGACTTTTCACCCGTCTTATTATTCGGCAATACTTCTTTATCTCGAGATGACTTCATGGACTTGGTAGACTTTGTCTGCGAACTCGATGAGAAATCGAGCGTACTATAGGGAAGATAATCATGATTAATATCAAATGATTGGAAGGAAATTTCAGAAGGGTTTTGCTGCAGCATTCTGAAATCTGGGTTGTGAAAGAAAGAGAGATTCGTTCTTTGAGGCATGGTTTCTCTTGGTGTCTTTTCCTTTTGGCTTTTAGTATTTATATTTGCCACAAACAAATGGTCAAACCCCACTGCAGCTTGTTATTCAGGTACTTCCTAATGTATCCGGATATATAATAGCCAATAATTTATCAGTTACGAGAATCTAGTACTTATAAAAAAAAAATAAGTTAAGAGAATCTATAACTAATGAGGAAGCTTATGTTATTATCTATAATATAAAAAAATTTATCTATATAAAAACTCTATTTTATCCGGTTGCTCCAAAATCACAAGACGTGATTAGTATATTTGGGGTTCCAATTTCATAAGTTTTAATTTGTTATATTCTAATACAATTTTATCCTGTAACCTCCCTCTCCACTTTCCTTTAACCTCCCTCTTCAACCTCTCCTATTTATTATCTGTTTTGTAACTGTTTCTATAATCAATATATTAATTTCAAACAGTTGTCCATTCCACTACTTCCTCAATCGTCCCAAATTCATCATGGCTACAATTCTTTATAACCTTCCATACTCTCAACTTCTGTTAAATCTTCACCTGCCTCAAACCCTAACGTTTTTTCATCTCCTCCCTCCTATCGGTTTAACATGGCATGGCCTATTGAAAGAATATGCGATATCAATGACAGTAAAGAACCATAGAAGGTTGCAATCAGGGTTCATCATAAGTGGAATGTGCTGATTAATAACAAAGAGCATTTTGAAATGATTTTTGTGGACAAAGCGGTAAAATATGTTTTCTCTGCGTCTGGATCATCTTCATGGTGGTTTCTCTCTATTATGTTTTTTATAAAAAATTTGTGGCACATTCTGTTATTTTTACAATTTTCTGTGCATTGTGTAGTAAATGGTTGGTTTTCTGATATTTTGTTATTTTATGTGCATCGCAGGATGATGATATACATGTTGTTGTCCCGGCAGCACATATGTCTGTTTTTGATGAAAAATTGTTGCTGGGCCATACTTATACTGTAGCCAACTTTAAGTTTACGGGAGGTACGTCTGTTGGGAATGATAACAAACATGAGATACCTGCGAAACTGCTGGTGATTACTGGTTTTTCTGAAATAATCAACGACAATTATAACAAAGATGTGCTGATAGGTAAAAAAAATGTAACATCTTTATTGATCTTTTGGTCGCAGATTTGAATTTGATATTTTTGTTCTCTTATGCGGATGTTTATTTTTCCCCATATATAATTGGAATGGTAGAGGGTATTAGGTATTCACAGACCGAGTTCAAAAAAACAGCAGGTTACTATGATGTTAAGGGACCACAAGTATGTAATCTAGTGCTTTCGTCGTTGTTGTTATATCATATATCATATGAAATGCATCTTAAATTTCTTTTGTTGAACGACTGTTGCATATTCATTGTTTAGCAACAATACTCTAAATTGTTCTCTTTGAGAATCGTATGCCGACCAGTTAATCAAATTCACACAGGATCGTGGCAATAACTCTGGTCCAAATGTGTTGTTGCTGTAATATAGAAAAGTCAAACAAGATGGTTGGTTGGTTTATTATGTTATTATAAAACTATTTATTTTTGGCCACTCACACTTGCGTCATATTTTTGTTGATGTAGGGAAGTTTCCGCTGTCAGTCACAAACACCTACAATGTCACACTGCTCTGCCTCAATGCTGGTTTTCCTTCGATCAAAGATTTCATAGACTGGTATATTCTTTGTATCAAATCGATGGTATCCATTGATATGTTAGATTTCTCGTGCTGTTGTGTGAACATTTTTTTAATTCACTTATTCATGCAGCATTCCTAAGGACTCTATCGTTACTGTCTTCAGACAGATGTGTTCAAGTTCACAGCTCTCATCGCAGAACTCTGAAAAAACACAAGTCAGTCCTGCTCATAGGTTACTCTCAAGTGCTGTTGTTTTGTCTCTTGGTGAAATAATCAAACTCCGTGATGTATGACACAATTTGGTTGTTGCTGTTATATTTTATTCATTTGTGTTAGTCACTTCTTTTTCGTCATTTGAAATTCATGTCATGAACTTTTGATGCAGATCACATTTTGTGCTACTGTTGCTAAAACATGGATTCTGGTGGCATCTCCGTTTGAATGGTGCTACCGTGCCTGTCATTTGTGTCCTTGCATTGCACATGGTGATACTGCTGCTCCATTTGACTGTGATGTTGGTCATTCAATTGAGGCTGAAATCTTTAGGTCTTATTACTTGTCCTTTAATATTGTAGTGGTCGTGAAAGCTATTTTTATGTATTTATGTGATCATATTTCTTATATCCGTTAATCATGACATTGTAGGTACAAGGTAGAGATTCAGGTTTTCCACGGGGCAACAATTGTAACTTTATGTTTTGGAATAGAGAATGTGAGTTTCTTCTGGGTTTATCTACTGCCCAAATACATCATACTATGATCAAGATTTAGTGTTTTATTCCCTACACCTTAGTATACGCATTTTTGTAATGTATTAATACTCATTGTTGAGGTTTGTTATATAGGCTGGAATTGATGATCCATTGAAATTCCCATTGACACTTGATCAACTGTTGAACTTAGAGATGACATTTAAGGTCAAGTGGCAGCCGCGTTGGAACAATTGCTCTGTTGTGAGGATCCTTAGGGATGAGCCTTTTATCAGGCAACTTAAGGCTCCATGGGACATAGACGAGTTATAATCTTCCTAACATGGTTTTTTTATTTTAGGTTGTTTGTTTATTTGGGTATTACATTTTTTTCTGACGATACTGTAATTGCGGAAAAAGGAAGTTGTTCTGGTCCCCTCCATAACATCTAAGCCTCTGCAGGTAATTACCCTATTGCAGTTTTTGGTTATTAGTTTGTTTTATTATAGTTGTTGTTATAAGGTTACATTAAATATAATGATTACTTTTATATTATGCTTAGATTAAAGAGAGTGTGGATGAGGCCAATACGGGTGCGCCCGAAGAATATGTTAAGGAAACTATAATCTATGTCTCCCTCCCAGTTTATGAATAAGTTTATGTTGTCTGAATGGTATAAAATAAAGTCTTTTGTGTCATTCATTATGTAACAGGATCTCGAGATCACCTCTAAGCATAAACTAGATTCAATGACGCCTATTGGTAAGAGAGAGTTTCTAGGGGGTTCAAGTGAATCAACAACCTCAGAAGGCTTCTGTGATAGAGAGCTCTCTTCTAATAAGCTTAAGAAGACAATCAAGTTGGAGAAGAGTGATTAGTAGTGGATGCATTTTATTATGTGTCTTCGTTGGTTTTAGTTTGACTTTGTGTTGACAATTATCGCTCTTTCCTTTTTATATTTGTTTGCCTTTTCGATTTGGAATTGTAAAATTAGACTTGTGCTCTATTATGTTATGCTAACTTAATGTTAACACACAACTTCCTGCATCTGTGTGTTTCTTTTGAATGATCATGTTTACATAAATTTTTAGTAAAATATTAGGAATTTATTACTCTATTATCACTCCTATGGAGCAGCAGGTATTAATCCATTGCTTTGAATCTACATACTCCTGCATAACAGTAAAGTAAATTTCAGACATAGCTTTGTGCCAACATATGCAGAGAACCCTCTTCAAAAAGGCTTCAGGAAATTGGCAGCATTTGTACAACACTTCCAACATCTACATTGCTGGCAAGACACTAAACTCAGATTCTGTTATAAGTTTTCCCTGCCAAATCAAGACGGATCTCATCCAAGATACTTGTGGAGATTTGCATCTGTTGAAAAACCTTACACTATTTGGAGTCGTACAGTAGAATTTAGGATGATTATATTACTCTAATATTCATGTAATTTGTATTGACGACATTTGTGATTTGTCTTAGATGTAAGTACATTAGGCCATCTTATTGCAAATAATGTCATGGACCTGTGCTATAATTATCACAACGTTACATGCTATTAGTCTAATAATAATGTAATTTATATTGCCTACATGGCTGTTTATATAATGTAGCTTTGCATGTATGTATTCTCATAAATCAATAACATGTCATGTTTCTACATGTACCACTATTTCATGTGTTGTGTATGAAAAACAAACAAGTTAGATTATGTTTCTTTTTTGGCGTTGGTATCTTTGATTGAGTTTTATATATCATCTGCAACTGCAGTGCTCTAAATTGAATCTCATGTGGCATTTAAACATGACTAATATTAATAGGTCAACAAATCCATCGTAAACTGTATATATTTAAATTCAATCATATTTGTCATCTGTCTTTGATGTTGATAGATTAAGTAATCTTATTACAACTAATGTCATGGACCCGTGGTTACATGTGACAGTAACATGTGATTTGTGATTCAACGTATCTGTTATAGACTGGCCCGATAGCTAGAATGGACCAAGTCTAACCCTTTCTTCCGGTACGGCCCGCACATCCATGGCCCGAACCTCTCGACTCTCTGTCGGGAAAAATAGACCCTTTTCCCCCCAAGCCGGCACCGGCCTAGGATGATCGACGAGCATCTCTCAGTCTTCCCGATATCAAGTTGTGCAGGCCACCATGAACCAACCAAAGAGATGCTCGTAACTTGCCTCCTCCTCGGAACCAACAGCTAATTACGGGCACATCTGCCTGGTTTGATCAAGTCCTGACAGTTACCTGATTTTATGGACCGACATATTCTGGCGTAAAAACAGGAACCAATGTCCATGCGCCAGGACATTATATATACCCTCACACTTGTGAGGGCCAAGTATCGAATATTCACTATTTACCACCAATACCTTAACACTTTGCTTGTATCTCCTTGTCCACACTCTTACTTGATCGTCGAAGTGTCTTGTAGGTACAACTCCCCTTTCTCCTCCTCGACATCATATCCCGATTGCAGATCATCATCCGGCCACCTTGCCGGTTCTGATCAACCGTAAGATCAATGGCGCCGTGTTGTACCCCAAAATTTACCCTCTTTTCATACACGCATATTATTGGTTTTATGGTTATGAAATAAAGGTATATTTATGAAGCTTCGTCAGGTTACAAGTGACG